TCCCGTGCTTGGGCTAACTCTTATCCCAAACACGATGCAACTGAGATGGCATGCACAATGCGACTAACATACAACCTAGCATATGAAATGACATACGCAATGCTATGAAATGACATACACAATGCTCGATATGACATGGCATACACGATGTTCTAACATGTAATCTAGCATACGCAATGCTATGGACCGAAATGACATACACAATGCACTATGGACTTACACCAACATGAATGGACCTCAGCCACACTCACATCAGTGGCCATATGATGGAAAAGAGACAACCGAAATGTGTGCACACGTGCACTTATACCAAGGACCGAACCTAAGACATAAAATGCCACTCTAGCAAAGCATGGCAAGGGATGAAAGATGGCATACAAACATGTAATTTCCAGCACTGAAACATGATGCTAAATGGTCCCGAAACGTGGAAATATGGCACCCGATGCATGGATTAAGCCCCGAAACTCAAAACTAGGCACATGTATTGAACCACAAGTATACAAAGCAAGTATTATTTGATCATGAAGTCAAAAGACAGAGCCAATGCAGTCCCAAAACATGCACATTTCTAGTTTAGAGCATGGCCAAAAGATGCTAACATGATAGACTAAAATAGCATGCAACATTGGCTAGCAAGCATGGTTTACATGGAATGTATATGAAGCAAATGAGAACTCATCAAACCAGCCAAAAACAGTGAATAAAATATGCCAAAATATGCCTAAATAATCACTGAAATGCAACCAATGCATGCAAAAATGAGGGGCTTCTTTGGAGGGCCTTGCAAGGGGTTGTTAAACACATACAAGATAGACACTTAGCATGGCAAAACCAACTCTGGAAATCAAATATGACAACCCTAAAACTCACCAAATTGGCTCTGAAATGGGTCTAGGAAACATGCAAAGAAAGGCTCCTTTGAAAGGCCTTGAGTGGGATTGTTCTACACATGCATCATAGACATAAAATATGGCAAAAAGGGTTCTGAACAGAGCTTATGCAGACCATAAAAATCACAAAATGAGACCTGAAACATGACTTCAGTGCATGCAAAATAGAGTCCCTTTGGAAGGCCAACAATGCTATTAAAGAGAATGAGGGGTGAGAGGGTCACCCCCCTCTAATTTTGGCCCTTAAAAATACATCTAAGACACTGAAAATACACTGGATTTCAGTGGCTAAGAGGCCAAACCATGGCCAATGCAAGTGCTCTAATGCATAGCCTTAATCATGAAGAGATGAAGCATGCATAGGGGGAAGATGACCCCAAACAGAAATGGGACCTTAACCAAAATTGAAGAGGGGCTCCAAATAAGAAATTTTCCAGTTTATGACAAATCTCAAAAATGTTCACAAGTAAGCCTAAAATATGATGCAAAAATAGCCCTAAAAGAGAGATAGAGGATAAGGGGAAGTAAATGACCTCAAACAAAAAAGTGCCCTTAAACAAAGTTGAAGAGTGGATCAAAATAAGACACTTTACAGTTTGGGTCGAAGCCCAAAAATGTTTGAAAATAAGGATAATCAATCATGCAAAATGAGGCAAGAAAAGGGAAAATAGGGACTCACCCTTGAAGAGCAGATTTCCAGCAGCTTCTGGACCGAGTTGGTGAACCTTCAACCCCTTTAAATCAGCTCCAAGATGCTAGAATGGATGATGGAGGTGTTATGCTAGGAGTTGTAGTATAAAATGGCCAAGAACAAGGGTGTTTGGAGGCTTGAAGTAGAGAGATGGAGGTTTGTATGTATATATCTCAGCCCAAAGCCTCTAACCCTTGCAAATGCAGGTGGAGTGTGTGTTATATAGAGGGAGAAGGGTGAGGCTTCTTGGAGAAGCCAAGAGAGGGGTTCAAAGCTTCTAAAGGAAGCTTAACCAAAGGGGTCAAGCTTCTTGGAGAAGCTAGACCAAAAGGGTCAAGCTTCCTCAAGAAGCTTGACCAAAGGGGCCAATTCCTCTTCCCCACCAAGCAAAGGGGTCAAAACCCCCTTTTAAGGACCAAAGCGGGGACAAAACCCTCGGACAGTGGGTCAAGTGCAAAACAGCTGGCACAACTGTGTTGCACTTGAGAAGAGCAAAAAGCAGAAAGCTGGCAGACCAGCTAAGATGGCCGGCCGGCCACTCCCCCTGGTCGGCCAACCAGGGGTCAAAAAGGTCAACAAAAATTTCTGGCCGGCCACCCCAAAAAGGTGGCCTCCCAAACGAGTGCAACACAGCTGTATGGTGAAAAACCGGAAAAAGTGACCTAGGAGAGAGAAAAACCAGCTTTCAAGCAAGGTTCAAAAGGGTCAAGATGAATTTCTGGCCGGCCTACCCATATTGGTGGCCTCCCAGATGAGCACAACACAATGGTGGTACGAAAAGCCAGAAAATGTGGCTCAAAAGTGAGAAAAACCAGCTTTCTGTCAGAAAAATCGACTTTTGGAGAGAGAAAATGAGAAAACTGGTTTTTCAAGGAAAAAGGTGGCCTCCCACCATCTTACCACCTTCCTAACAATGAAAATAGGGTCTCTACCAAAAATGGACCAAAACGGATGCAAAACGAAGGTTCGGGGGCCAAAACGCGCGGTTCAGGGCCCGAAAATAGGCTGTTAGGCACCGGAAGTGGCGTATGACCACCAAGGTGGTCTACCGGGCCACAGTGTCCCTCTAAAGGGAGGAAATAAGGTGTGTGCCAAAAACCGGAGCAATCAGAGGTAGTTAAGCGGTCCTGAACCGAGGCACACGGCCGACGGCTCTGAAAACTGAAAACCGGGCTCCAAATGGGAAAAATGGCCTACGACCACGAAACGTAGCCTACGGCCACTGAGAGATGATCTACGAGACCTCTCCCTCCCTTTGGGAAGAGAAAACAGAGAAAACAGGACCTGGTTCGCAAACCGAGGCAAGGCACGAAAGAGCTCCGAAGTCTGGAGGCAAGGCTCTCAGTCGAGACTCCGCAACTTCAGAACGAGCACAATATGCAACATCACCGAGCGCTCAATTGGTGACGTCTGAGTCTAAAGGTCGGTCAAAAATGGGGTGACCACAATTGGTATAATGGATTTAAGAGAGAGGGAGTTGAATAATCTTTATATTTTGCTTATATGAGTTAGATAATTGTGTTTATATCAAAAGAAAATAAAAAGAGAAGTAACCACGTTGTTGGTGTTGTTTTAGGCTAATCACGTAAAGTTGAGATGAGTTATGGTTTTGGGTACCAATGGAATTGGTTTTGTAAAATAAGGGTGATGGATTTGGTTTTGGTTTTGTAAAATAACAAGAATGAATTTTTAGAAAATGGTTGGGGTTGTGTGGATTGGAAAATAAAGGAAAGTGGTCTTTTTGAAAGAAAATGAAAACATCACCCTTTGTAAATTGATAATGAACTTGATGTCGAATTTTGGAACCCTTTACATATTATCTTTGTTATTGGACTGAAAGTCTTGCAAGAATTGGATTTTGTTTTCCTTTCGTACGAAATGTAGAAATGGATAGATATGAATTTAAATGGTGGGGTTGGATATTTGGAATCTCTCACCTATGAAAATATGGTTAGTTTATCTATTTCGATAAATTTATTTATCTGTTTAGAAATATATATTTTTGGACTATCGGTAAAGGATAGCTATGACTGTTATAGAAATTGCATGTGGACTAGGTGAATTGAAATCAATCACTTGTGCTTGTCATTGAATATGACTATAACTATATACATTGGATATGTATAGCTATTTGGGAGTGGAAAAGAGGATGTACTCCATATGTGATTATGTGTTCATATACATTGTGTATGTATTACACTTATGTCATTATGCATTCTAGCATGTATCATTGTTTGGAAGGAGATAGAGGATGTATTCCATTGTTTGGGAGGAGAAAGGGATGGAATCCATTGAAAATTAAGTTGGCCGAAGTGTCCAGTGTGAAAGTCCCGAAATCTTATATACATGGGTTCCGGTTCCCGCGGACGAAATTTCCATAAAATGGCAAATTGAAGTATTTGTGTAAAGATTGTATTGATTGAGAACCACTGAGTTGTAATCTCAGTTTGGTGTCCAAAATGTAATGAATTGGCTCATGAATTGAGATGAGATCATTTAACTTGAAATGAATTTTCATGAAATGAAGACAGACTAAATTGACTAAAGGTGTATCCTTGGCTTACCGTGCTTAAGGCAGGTAAAGCAGAATTTATTTATCATTATTGTCTCAGTGTATCTGGGTATATCATGGGTTATGATGGTATTGTTTTAGAAGGCTGGGTTGCCTCAATTATTGTAGCAAATAGTTATTGATGGCTTATTGTTTTCCTTTTGTATTAAAGGCATACTTATATAGTTATGAATGTGTTGAAAACGGATGTAAGTATTGTGTTGAGATTGAGAAAAATGTGAAAGACTTTGAATACTTGTGAACATGTTTTGAAAAGGCCAATAGGTGTAAGTCTGGAAAGTGAAAGAAAATGTAATGGGCTTGGTGAAATGGTTTTCTTCTGAAATTTGTTATAATCATATGAATTTTTGGAAAAAAGTAACAAGAAGAAAGAAAAGTGAATTGTTTATGTTATTGAATGAAATGAACGATTTTGAGAAAAATCTCTTATATACGTATGTTTCTGTATAAATTGTCACATTATTTATATAGTATGAGATTTCGCATTCATGATCATAGCTATTTGTAAGCTGCTATTGTTTAGGATTATGTTGAGATCCCTACTGGACTTTATGTTCATCCCACGTTGCCAATCCTTTTTCAAGTGAACATCGAGAAGTGTTTCAAGATGCGAGGATCTTCTTTACCTGTTGGCCACGGGGCCTTTTATTTGTGGACAGAATGCCAGTGATGTACAAGGGTTAAACCCTTTCTTTAGCTTTTAAAGATGTAAGCCTGCGGGCAATTTATTTAGTTATGTACATGTTGTAGAGATACTACTCATACATCCAGCACAACAATAAAAAATGAACCTAAATGGACTGTGCTTTCCTAAACAGTAATATAGAAGAGAAGAGATATTCACCTGCTTTAACACGACTAAGCTGTATTCATCCTTGTAGTATTGAGAATGTGGTGGGTCCAATGTCATAAGATCACTATATAATTCTTTAACTTCTTCAGAATGGACCATCTTGCATGTCTCTGGAGTTTTATCATATGACATCATTGCATCATGTGCAGTCAACAATCTTGCAAGCATAAGCTTTCCAATTTTACTACAATAACCAGTGCGAGAAAATAAGAGGACATTGGACAAACAATAAAGCTGCTTTGCTACTGCAAAGCTACTCATGAATGAATTCCACATACTAGTTTATCTCTAACAACGTGAAGGGGGGTTTTAGAGAGAGAGAGGCTCTCAGATCTAGGGTTTATGGTAGAAAAGAGATGAAAAAGTGATGAAGAAGGATGTTGTCGCAAACTGATATACACACGGTCTGCTCGAGCGTGAAAAGTGACGCTCGAGCGTCAGACAAATTGTTCCGCTTGAGCGTAGAATACACACTTTCAAAAGTTTTGTTGACGAAGGACATCGCTCGAGTTCAAGATTGGCCGCTCGAGCGTCCACCCGCTCGAGTGTAGGAAACGCCGCTCGAGCGTAGAATATACTCTTCCAGTATTTGTAAGGCTGTAAAAACACTGAGAGTTTGCAAAGCCTGCTCGAGCGCAAGAATGGCTGCTCAAGCGAAGGAGTAAAAATCTGGGCAACAAAAGTTTGAAAAATCAAGCAACCAACCTATTCTAAACACACAACTACAACAATCTCAAAGCCAAATTCAAGGAGATACAAGGGGAAACAAGATATGACCAGCATTGTAAGACCAATAAACCCGAGTCCAGAATACAAGATGGGTCCGGTCAAAATCGGAATCGCTATAGATCACATCAGTGCCGACTTAAGCATAAGGTAGGTAAAGCATGTGCTAGGACTCAAAATTGTGCAAAAGCCCCAAAATTTTGGGAAATTTCTCAAAGGCCTCAAAATTTCCAATATGCCAAAAAACCCATTTATGTTTTTTTTTTTTTTTTAAAAAAAAAAGGCCATCCAAGGAATCAAATATAATCATTTTCTTATATTAAGATAATTATTATTTTTATTTTTTTTTAAGTATAGAAAAAAGACAAATTCTACTTTTCTATTTTATATGTTTTTGCCTTATCTTATTTAGAAATAAATACATAGTTTCTTGTGGTTTGTAAACTAAAATGCATCATTTGACATTCCGTCCAAATTAGCAGTAAGTGTGAAACACTTGCCTCATAAGAGTATTTAGTGGGATTTACCTTAATTCACTAACAGTGAAATAAGGAAATAATGCATGCAATCGCATGCCTCACCGATCGTATCATTTTTACACGAATCAGGGATATAGGAGTAATCATTATTTACATGATTACAATACAGTCAATTGCCCTGTAAGGATATTAAAGAGGCCTATAAGACCTCAACCGTGGTGGGCCTTTGCATTAAGAGAAAAGCCATTCCACTCCTTTTTTAAAGCTTCATGAGAGTAATATTCGCTTGGGGCAGGTTCGACCTGTTTGTTACCGGCATTCTGTGCTTAACACATACCACACTCAAAAGCGACAACGGCTCCATACTCCATATTTCCCTTCCCTGATAGAAATCAAATGCTTTACACATTTTTTTGTCAATGAAGGGATGGAGGAGGTGAGTGAGTAGAGCAGAGAAGCAGCCTTGGTGGGAAGGGTAGAGTAATGATGATGTTACATCATTACTACATAATGTGAATGTCCTATAAGGACATTAAAGAGGCCTACAAAGATAGTTTTAGGTTACTAGATAGTGCATTTTAGTCCCCAAACCATAAGGGTTTATATGTTTATTTTCAAATGCTAAGAGGTAAACCCCACCTAAAGAACAAGTGAAATTTGACTTAAAAAATTCATTAACAACCTCATAAATCTAATATTGATGAAGAAAAGAGTGTTAGTTCTATAGTTTTTTTTTATATTAAACAAAATTTGTAATTAATTTACAAATTTATGTTTTAGTTAGGTCTCATATAATATATTTAACGGTAAAAATTAAATAGAATGCAACAAAAATGCTATATTGAACTAATTTGAAAAGTTAGAAGTTTTAATTGAACAAAAGTTTAGCTTAGAACCTAATAAAAGAAGAGAATAAAAACCAGGTTAAAAGCCAACTTTTGACTTTTTGGCTTTTTTAAGTCACATCACCTCTACTTTTTTACACGAATTTTCAACAAAAAAAAATGCCAAAAAACTGAATAATCTACTTCTCAAAAGTTTAAGGATTTTAGCATAATATATTCACACAATTTAATTATTTGTTTATTTAAAAAACTAAATATAAAAGGCCTCGTTTAAATTGTTTCTTTAGGCCTCAAAGTTTCTTGAGCCACATAGTTCAATCCAGTACAATACGAATAAATAATTTTACATCGTGTATAAAATTTGAACAGGTTACTGAACAATTTACAAAATTGACAATTTTGACAAAACAAATGGAAGATTATACAAAATGATCAGCGTTGAGATCACAGAGTTCAAAACAACACAATTCGAATACATAATTTTACACTTGTGTGTCAAATTTGAACAATACACAATTCACAACACAAATTGAAGATTGCTCAAACTTAACAGCGTTTAGATCACAGAGTTCAATACAATACAATACAATGCGAAGCATACATATAGACGAAGAGATATATATATATAGAGAGAGAGAGAGAGGAATCACATTTTGTTGTGATGAAAATGGAGGAAGTGAGATTAGAGAGGGCGTAGTTTAGCAGCTTTGAGAGGAAAGGCTTTTTCTTCTTCTGCAGTTGGGGCTTTGCGAGGACGACCATGCATTTTTGTGCTGAGAGAGAGAGAGAGAGAGAGAGAGAGAGAGAGAGAGAGAGGCAAAGAGTGTTGGACTGTTAAACGATCGAGCGCCAGTGGTGAGAGAACAAAGGGTAGATTACATACTTTGATCTGTCTTCATAGATAAGGGAAGAAGAATAAATCCAGGAAAGGCAAATTAAAAACTATTAAAAAAATTTAATGAGTGATTATACTTATATTACTATTTAACCTCTTTACACCTTTCATCTCATTTCATCACTAAAAAATATATATAATTCTCATTACACTCCCAATATATTACCAAAATTAATCCTAAATTAATTATTTCATCTCTTTATATCACTAATTTGGTAACACGGTGCTAAATAATTTAAATTATTCCGGTATTATGCTGCCGGAAAAAATTGATCTCTCCAGTATTTTGTTACTATACATTTACAGAGCCACTTTCTTCTAAACAATGATTTTTTAATTTTTGGTGGGCCTATTCGATAATACAACGCTAATTAATTTGAATTACTCCAGTGCCATGTTACCGGACAATATTTTTTTTCCCAACATTATGCTGCCATCCAATTAGATGATAACAAAAAATTAATTTGGGCCACTTGCGAAGTGCATGTTCAGTGATACATTGTTATACAAATAGGATTACTCTAGTGTCATGTTGCCAAACTACAATAGAGTTATCTAGGCCCCCGTCGCTGTTCATTGAAAGATTTACTTTTTCTTTGAAGCATCTATAAAAAAAAAATTCATAAATCAAACACCCATCCATAAATTATACATAAAAAGTATCCATAAAATTATTCATAAAAACATCAAGTGTACAAATATCCATAAAGTATCTATAAAATCTGTCATTATTTGCATCCATCAATCAAACATATTATCACAATTCGTCTTGGTAATTTGTAGGTAATTTTTTCCTCCTTAATAGAAATAGACATCCACACTTTTTAGAACCTGTCAACCTTAATCGTTCCCCTTTGATCTTCATGTTGTCTCTATAGTAACTACTAATTTCACAAGCAAACAAGTGTAAGTCTTGGTTTTCTGCCATTGTCTCCCACATCTGATGTCTTTATAATAATAACAAATTCAGTTTTCTTCCCAACTTCAGAAGCCCATTTAATTAATGATTCACGACTAGTAAAAATCTAAAGATAATAAATACATTTATATGTCAAATTATTAATAAAACTCAATACAAATTAAAAACAAGAAAAAATCGTATTCATAAAAAAAACTTAACAAATCTCATCTGTAATGAATTCATGACGAAAGTCCACTAATATTGCAGTACTTGCGTTGTTGCAATAAGTATTAGTATAATCCTTCCAGGCAAAAAAATAAAAAATATAAAAAAATGAAACTAAAAATATATGGTAATGAGAAGCCGAACAAATTAAAAAAATTCAATTTAGGGTTACCAGAAATGTATATTTTATTCGGTAGTTGGTTACCAGACTTATATTTTTTGTTCAGCAATGTGATGCCGGACGATTTTATTTTGTTCAATTTTGAACCACCGAACGAAAGTCAAACACCCGTCTAGAAAAATGAAACAAAAACATACCAAATAAATAATAAAAAAAAAAACTCACCATTTCACTTTTTTGATGATTCTTCATCACCGTTTCTTCATCCATTGCTTTCTTTAATGATTAAAATCTATGATTCTCACTTTTTGAAAAAAGATGTATAAGAGAAAAGAAAAAAGAGGAGTAGAGATTGAAGACCAAAGAATATAAGGAGATAACAAAATATATTTAATTTTAGTGTTTTGTCCTTAAAGGTAATTTCACATATGGATAAAATTGGAGGGGGAGAAACTTATATAAAGGGTGTAAAGGGGTAAAGTAGTGGTATAAATAGAATCACCCAATAGTAATTCCTCAGAGAGAAACATTATGACGTACATTTTTTTAAAAGTATGTATTATATGTACCTTGTAATTAAAAAGATACTCGCTTCAAAAATTTAAATTTAAATTTTATTTGTCCAAAGGCCCCAGGCACTGAAACACTTTATCCAAAATGATAAGCTCAAATGAAATGACTAAAATACCCTTCTATATATATAGTATACACTACGGTCCTAAACTTTCAAACCATCTCTCTCTCTCTCTCTCTCTCTCTCTCTCTCTCATCTACCGACAGTCTCAAACCCTCTTTTTCAGATCTCTCCTATGACGATCTCGCTGCTGTCCACCGTCTTCTTCCTTGTAGCAGAAGCAGCTAGCCGGGACTCGAGATACGCTACACAATGATCTCGCCGACCGTATATCTCGCCGTCATCCACTATCATCTTGCTACGGCTAAAGTAGTGGTGTCATTGCACTTATCGACTCTCAAATCATCTCACCACCTCTCTATTTTGCCATCATGCTGTCGAAGAGTGCCATGAGTCATCATCAT